TGGATCATCTTTGGTAGAAAGAGTCAAGTGAATTCGTATGTAATTTATTCGTATCCATTACCGTGTAGTTGTTGACACGATCGAGGACTTTATAGCAAAACTTTGAGCAACCCACTTTCAACCAGGTTCTGACTAAACTCGGAGTTTATATTTGATAGTTATTTATGATATCCTGTCATAAAAACTAACTAGACAAGCAAATGAAAAGAGATAGAACTTCATCGGTTTCTAATGATTCAGTTGTTAATAAAATGAAGTTACACGTTTGTCAATGAATTTACAAACAATTCAACCATAACTACCCAGTCTCTTTGCTTAGTTTCTACTAATAGTGATTTTAAGAATTTTGGTGAAATCATGACAAAGTGTAAATAAATATAATGGGTAAACAATTGGCAAAATATAGTTACATAAGCAGTAATATATGGAAATTTCTGTTTCAAAGGTGTGAATTTCCTCTTATGACTGTAGAAAATTGTCAGTGGTGTTCACGACGAAATTTGTTAGTTATCTATAAATGTTTGCATAGTAAGGGACTAATAAATTGTTTTTCTATTGTTGATAAAAGACCGATTAGACTTTAAATAACTTTCCTGAGATATTTCAACATCAAAGTTTCGAATCGCTCTTGGAGTTAGATTTACAAATGATAAATGTTTTGTGTTACTGAACAGACCAAACCATCGTTAATGGAACTTAATCTTCCGATGCAAGTAGGAATTAGATTTGTAAACAAAATTAAGTTTAGATTCAGAAACCACTGAATACAAGGAAGGATTACTTTCTATTAGTCCAAAATGCCTCATAAGTTGACATTTCTTAAACATTTCAAAGTTACTTCAAGGAAACATTACGGTAATCCTAAGGTTCGCTGATATTGAGTTTAAGACTCAAATTAAAACGCTTGACAATTTCTAATTTTACCCAAATGATGATACACGGCGTTATTATCGGTCTAACTTATTTATCACATGAATCGTTCCCAAAAATGATAATGCACGCAGGACACCGCAACCTCTGGAACTGTTAAGTTGTCAATCATTTTATGAGTTGGCTTAGTATAATCTAATTAGACTACCGGTTTTTATCACTTTACTGACAAAATCTAACTCTAGATCACTTAACGTATAAATTAAATCCTTTTTTCAATAGTGACTTCACATAAAGTTAATTAAAAGCTTACAACAGTATACCTATTTATAAAGCTAATTTCCATAAGATATTTCCCATCTCAACGAATAAATTCACTGAGTTTCCCTTAAATAGCTTAAATGAAGCAAGATGTAACTGAATTATCTTCTAAGTGATATTACTCCAATCCTATCACACCATGCAGTAAATAACAATTTTGATACATTTTATCAAATTTAGTTTATCGATAAACATCGAGGGAAGAAGAAAAACAGTAAACTAAAGATATACTGAAAAACAAACACTAATCACTAGCCTGGTCAGATTTCCTATCAAGAGTATGCATTAAATTATTCGGTTAATCTTCAAATTTTTGTAACATAAGAGTGGCTATTAAAAGAGACATTTTGAAGCAAAGCAAAGAAAAACTAGAAAGGCAACAAAGTAATTACTAAGAAAATTCATATACCATATTGCTATGCTCTTTGGAAAATATTTGTTTCGTTTCAAAATATCGCACTTAATAAACACTCATTATTTACGGAAATCTTAAGATTTACTGATTAGTATAATGCATACTGCAAACTGGAGTATATAGGTAGATTAGTGAGTGTCAGTAAAAGGGCGTGAAAAAGAGAGTGATAAAGAAAGATATCCAACAGTAAGGGCGAGTATTATTAAAAACGACCATGAAAAAGGGGAATGAAATTTTTATATGTAAAGTTTGTTCGATTTACCCTCTCCCCGTTTGCCTGTGACTAGTCAAAAACGTAGTTATTTAAACTTAAAATAATGTCTACTTCGCTTTAAATGGAAGCTTGACAAACATGTTTTTGAGGGACAGTTGTTCGCTGTAGAATTAACTTTGGTGACTTAAATTAAAAGATTTTCAAAATATTCTATCATCATAGTTCCGTTCTTAATGAAACACAAGAACTAACAGCCGATTGCCTCATTAATTATGAATAAAAATATAAACAAAGTCAAACATAAGCTTAATATCATTTGAATGATCTGTGCTATTAAATAATTTGTATTCACTGACAGATAAAAATATCATTTAATGCCATTAAATTCATATCCAATGCAATTATTTGATACAAATATAAATTTTCGTTATTGGTTTTGTAGGTCCTGTCAAAACCAACAACATCAAGAAAACGAGTTATCAAATTTATCTGATCAGCAGTTGCAAAGAAGTAGCACAGAAGACAATTTTCTCCATAGATTTCGTACTCACAAAACCCACCAAGTGACGTGATGTGAACTTTCGATTTGGCGTAATAACCTAGCATCTACAATATAAATAGGTGCATTGCCTACCAGGAAGGCTGGCTTGCCAGAACACTTTTTCGCGCACGCTAAAAACATCTTAGGGATTCAGGTATTTCCCATAAGATTGGTAAACGGAGTGCACAATATTGAATACTGCTGTCCCCGAAATCAGAAGAGGCCACACCGCTTCAAATTCCGCGCAAAACCTAAGCATCCAAGGATTATTATCATCAGAGAATTGCACTCATGATGGTGATGCACATTCCCACGAACAACAGTCCAGTGACTTTCAGTGAACTTAAAAAAGATGAAGGCCGGACATTGAGTGTTCATTGCAGTCCTTCATGAACAATATAATAACACTAATCAAATTACCTCCTTCGTCTAATCGGCTGTGAAGATCCGCTAGGCAATCTACGGTCATTTCTCTAACATGCAAATTTAATAAACGTCTTCTGATCCCTATGGAAATGAGATTCTCGCAATGCATGATGGCAGTACGTTGTCATAAGTTCTGATGATGCTCTTTAACTCTTCAAGCGATTCGAACGCTACCAAATACAACGTATTCAAGAATGTGTTATCCGTGTCCGAGACAACGTGAGAAACTATAGAACTTGTACTTTGTGCGTTATTATTGTTCACAATTTGAAGAAGAGTGGGTCTGTCCAAAGGTACTATTATTTTATGTCAATTTTCAGAAAGAAATAACTAATTACGAATTGAAAACTAGTCATTTAACTGGACGAAACGGAACGAAAAAATAATTTAGAAAAAAATACAAAACTCGCCGAGCATTAAACAATATTCGATACCCTTGGAAATATTAAAACCGGTAAAAATAATTTGTTCACAATTTGCTACAACAGAAGGTTATAATTTGCTAGTGAGGATACGGTCGATTGTTTGATTTGAAACTGGTAATTCATCAATTCTCTAAGAAAACCTGATTAATGGTTTTTCATCCTAATATGACTAGCTATTGCGCGTTTAATAAAGGAACAACCGATCAGCTCAAGAAAAAGTGACTTTACTATTCGATAAATAGGCAAATTATGTTAAAATTCTCTCAGTAGTACCATAACTGCTGTAACTTTTCCTAAAATAAATTTCCTATGTTATATGACAAAAATGTTTTTGATAATTTAACAAACACTTTACCAAGCCTTTTCTTTTGATAAATTCTTATTAATCATAGATTAGAAAAGTTCTATTTTCATCGTTTTCATAAATACTTGATTACTTTCCGTCGAATCGATCAACAAATCTGATGTTCCCGAATGAATACTTAACCCCTCATATAACAGCTTCCACATTCAAGTATATCACTGAGACACAAAATCAGTGATGTCCATCAAAAAAAATACTGGTATATAAAGAATAACATGGAAATATTTGATGAACCAATAATCCGTCAGCAAAAAAATGATCCAGTTTACCTCAAAGCTACGATTATCCGGTCTTTGGTTATCTTCATACCCATGTAAATGTGGTTTTTAGACGAAAGGAATAAGCGAGAGGTCATGATGTAATCGATTTTAGCAGACATGCGCACTACATGAAATGGTAAAACTGGTATGAATTACCTTAAAACAATAATAACATAATCATATGCAAGGCGGTAATGATAATGATGACAATAATAGTTAAAGACAGTATGATAAAAGCTAACTAATTGGATGGTTTAACTGATAAAGAGTTAAATGTTTTACTGAGTAGTGTTAAAATAAGACTAGTTATCATAATAGTCGTAAATTAGAAATGAAAATTCGACTAAAATGTACGATGATTAAATGAATGTTGAGTAGATGGTGGATGTCCGTAAAGGTAATAGGTCAAAATAAGCAAACGAAAAACTTAATTTTTTAAAATATTTTTCGAAAATATTAGGAAAAAGGACAGAAGTGAATTGACTAACACGATTTTTGACCATCTTTACCAGATCCCTGATTGTTTTAGAAGTCTGTGTAGCTAATCCAAATTACTTAGGGCTCTTTATTGGAATAGACGATACACTTATGTTGTCTATGTCTTTGAAATGTTATTTGTATCCGCTTAACACTTGTGAATTTATAATAATAGTGAAAGAATGTGAGTTTGACACTTCATTCGAAGGTACTACTCCTCTCCAAAATATCAAGAAAGTGATAAAAATTAAATCCTTAAACTGTTTATACTCTTAACATTGATGCTTGTATTTTCCTACGAGTACATGAGGAAACGGTTTGCTTCGCTGTTTTTAGCTATTAAAAGAATTGTAACTGGGATTTATGAGAAACAAGCTTTTTAAGAACTCAAGTAATTTAAAGCAATTAGTCCCTTTTATAAATTTCCGTAGAGCAACTCCGTCTGCTAATTGCTCTATCAAAACTCAAGTAATGTCTACAAAATGAAGTCTAATTCAAATAACCTGGGTTATCACGAAATTAACTGTCATTCATAAAACGTTAGTTAACGATTAACGCTGAATGTTGCAACCATAGTTAACCTTTTAATTCGAGTTCAACTTAGATTTCACGAACGACTCGATGTAAGCAAGTAAAATTGGATACGTTTAACACAAAATAATCAAACATCATCAACCACCCCTCATGTTGTCAAACGAGAAGTTTATATTAAATACATCTTACAACAAATTTACATGTGATACCTTATATTTACAAGACGTAATTACAAAGATCGTATCAAGATTGAAGCGAAATCAATCAATATCTCGCAATGAACAAAGGCAAAATTTCATGGCTATTATAAATAAATATATATTCTTCAAGTTGTATCCATTTTCATAGAAATCTCTTCGTGTACAGACTTTGATGACTGTGTAGGCATCAAGTCATCTGTGACTGAAGATAGGGAATCATCATCTACAAAAATTGATAATTACATTAGGTGGCAGTTTGTTTTAAATAAGACCTACCCTCTACAATTTTTTGTAAGCCTTTCAGAGCAACCAAAAACAAATGGAATTGAGTTTTTCTAAGCTGAATCTTTCGGTCGTACTCTTCATTTAAATTCTCCAGTCTTTCTAAAGTAGCTTTTAATTTTTTATACTTCCTGTGCACAAACAAAGAAAATCCCTTTTTAACAATATAGTATATTCAAAATACAAAAAAACATCTTGAAATAACTGACAAATACACTCATCGACAGTTTTACTGACAGTTTGTATACGTACAAAAAGCTAAGTGTATTCATCAACATAGTGAATTATTATTACCAGACCAATGTTTAAAAAATACCAAGATATTTACTAATAACAATCTACCCAATGCTCAATTTATTCGGAATTCAGAAAGATATTTGCATATCTGCCGCACAACATATTTGATATCATAGACACGTTAAAAGTATGAGAGGTGATAATTTATTTTAACAGCGAAAAAACTACTTCCATCCTGTAGAGTTCAACGGATAGTTATAGACAAATAACGACTTTTATTTCGATTATTTATTTCCATAACAAAAATAACAATGTACTTCATTTACCAAGTACATATCATTCAGTCAGTCATTCAACTACAAAGTAGGACTAGGCACATATATGCATCGATCCAAGTTGCCATGCATCATTAGCACAACGGGATGAACACCAAATTCATAGAAGTAGCTACTTCAATAACAGTAATATATACATACATATAAAGACTGAATAAAAGGATATGACAAAGAGAAAAAATTAGTTCGTAAAACGGGATTAAGTAATTTTAATCTCAAGGTTTGAAGGAAGACCAAGAGTGTATACAACTACACAATTGTGATTGATTCTGAGCCATGTCACCAAGAGCCTCCAGCCATTGCTTACGATAGTCGCGTGGACCCCAACCAAGTAGTCTGCATCTACCAACATGGCTCAGACCAGAAGTTAGTAACTTTATGGACTGATGTCACGTTTTGGTTTGGCCGCCCCTAACTTTATTCCATCAGTCTCCAACACTAGTCAGCACTGCCCGCCGTCGTAGCCGGTGGTTGGGCATGGGTAATACCTGACCCAGCCATTTCAGTCGATGGAGATTCACAATCCCATCAACAAATTCAACATCATTCCTTAATACCATGAGTCTAACCTCAACTATTACTTACCAGGTGATCCATCAGGTGCTGGTAATACTTCTAAGACGTCTGTCATCGAATACTAGTAACTTAAGAGTATATTCTACCCTTAATGACCACGTTTCGCAACCGTAAAGTAGAACAGAACGAACTGCCGCACAGTATACTCGTCCTTTAATTGATAGACGGATATCTCGACTTCGCCATAGGTGACGTAAGTTGATAAAAGCCAAACGAGCTTTCTGAATTCGTGCTGATATTTTGTCAGACATCAACCCATTACGACTGACCAGACTTCCAAGATAAGTGAAGTTGTCGACGCGTTCGACTCCTTCACTCCCTATCCTTAGTTCAGGTGATGATGCAGGCCAGTCCAGAAGCAACAGTTTGCATTTAGGGCGGGGGAAACGCATTGTTTCCCAGTACTATTAAGGGACTGAATTTTATTAGCGTCTTTATCAATCAGGACTCGGCTTTGAAATACATTTGCTTTTTGATAGCTAGTGATAATATACTGCTGTCCAAACTGTCGCATAATGGTTGAAAATCAAATGCGCTAATCACAAAGCCACCGACCCCTTAATTATCCATTGCTGCACGCCCCAACACCAAACATTTGTAGCCATATTTGTTCTAATGAGGTTTATTGGGTGAATAAATTCACAAATGACTCGTCGGTGGCGCCCATTTTATGTTAGCAACCGCCTACCAGTTTTCAGGAAAATTATCTAAAATCTCTCAATAGAACAATTCGATGACAAATAACCGTATTCTACAACCGAGCACTATATTAACTTAGAAAATGGTCAATACTATGAACACAAATGAACAGGATGAAACCCTTTGTGCTAAGAAAGTTTATAAAAGGAAGACGCCTTTTAACTCCAATAATTGAGTCAGAAACCAAGGTAATTTAGATTATAAAATAAAGGAGCACTACTATCATGATATTTACAACGAAAAATGCAATAAGAAATTTTCACCTAGCGTATTGACACTAAAGCGTAAGTCGATGAATAGTCCTTAATATAAAACCACTGCAAAATAAAGAAACTTACTCAAGTGTCTCATCTCTCTCTGGATGATCACAAAGAACTTTGGCAAGACTGTCATACTCTGTTTAAATAAGCTAACTAAGAACCAAATTACCTCGTCTATTTTTCCTGACAGTTTTTGCGGACCTCAGATCTTCTTTACATTGTTGAATGCGATTTTTTGCACTTTCAATGGCCGTTTCTATGAGAATGATGTTCGTAGTTGCAACATACCAATTTCCTTATATAAATCCTCATACTGTTTTTGCTGTTCGTAGTTCATAGCTATTACTAATGACGACTGTTCCATGGCATTTTCACACTGGTAAACACTGGCTATAAGGGCTTGATAGGCTTCGTAGCTGACTCAAATAAAGATTTTGGAAATCATTTACCCGTCTTCACCAACATCATCAGAAGCTACCCATCGAAGATAATTTTTGAGTAATAGTGTAATTCTGCGATCATCATTTCCACTTTCGCCTTCGATTAAAAGTCTTCTCTTTATGATTTCGTCTATACAAGTTGTAAACCATATGAAATTATTGTACAACCAAACCATCTGTTACGGTGGACATCAGAAAACACTGAAGATTCTTATAGAATTGGCGTCTAGTATATGGACCGAAATTGCAGTCTTAATGCTCTATATGTACACAAGAAAAAAGGTTGCACCAATAAGACTTAAAAATATCAAAACCAAGATGGATATATGATCATATTCAGTTGCAAAGCACTGAACCGTAAATACGTTGCAGGAGAACCCAATACCGAATAAAAGGCTGGAATTGTGAAGGGCTCTTATCAAATATCAGTTAACATAGAGCAGAGACCGAATATATATGGTATCATGTCGAAGAAGGAACTTTTCACCAAGGTAGATCAAACTCAAATGCCAGAGTAAACAGTTAATGTAAAGGGAAAACTCTGAACATAAGACACCTGGAACAAAAGGACTAAGCAGCAAAAATGGTAGGTCCAATTTAATTATCTTATCACTAGAATAGACCTTATTATACATTCAAATAACGTTAAGTAGTTACAGCTTGCTAACCCGAACAGCATATAAACTACCTAACGTATTAATTAACGAAAAATATCAATTTGGAGGTTAGAATCAAAGATTTGCAAAACTATTCTAATTTAGTAGGTTCTGATTAAAAGGTCAACTATTTACGTACAGGAAGTGAACTTCGGGATACGTGCAGCAGAAAGAGCTTCCGTGTTATTACTTCAGGCAGATTTTTGTTATTTTAGAGGCTACTTATATGCAAAACGCCACCAGAATACTCTGGCCTGTAAAAAAATTTGGAAGGCACAAAAAAACAGATGCCCAAATTTGCAAAGTCAGCTTTGAATTGATTTTGGTCATCCTGTTACTTCATACTCACTAAAACGTTGATGTGCCCCAAGCGGTTGAGAAAGTAATGTTTTATTGACGGCTTGGTATGAAGCTTTGAAATTTACCAGATTAGGAGCAAGTAAATGCACAGAATCTAGACAGGTACAGAAACCCAACATAAGAGCTTTGTTTTGCATACTTCGGATATTGCCTTAGAAATCTGGTCTTTCATTCCTGTGGCACGACAGTATGCCATTCATTAACGGCACTCCATGTGTACACAGATAAACTGAACTGTTTGAGGGTATACGGTATATCAAACAATTATGCCTCAGATTTTACCTACACCAATACAATCAAACCAAGTCTGAAGATGTGTTATTGTGTTTGCTATTGTGTCTGCTACCGAAGTAACAACATTATGAACGATAAGTAGTTTGTAAATCGAAGAGTTTGTGAGCTACAGAAACTGAAAAAGCTAGTGCCTACCTTTGACGAAGTTGTGAATCTCAAGGCTCTTTGACCTATAGTTAGTAGCGCTGTACTGTCAAGGTCAGTCTTCATTCATTCGCAATCCTCAATATCAGGGATTGTTGGTCGGTTAACTTGTGCTAATGCGTGTAGCTCGTTTTCCAATAGAGATAAAGGTCCTCTTTGAAAGTATTTACTAGTAGGGTTGGCTTCAGACATGTACCACGCTGAGAAAAACGGACTCTCACTAGCAGTTTATTCGATCGCAGTTTTTGGATCCTCTTGTGTGACATCAAAGATGGCCAGTTCCGAAGGAAGCAGTAAAGTGAAGAAAATTTGAAAACCCAAATCATTATTTAAGATACGGAATGCTGATATAAGGTCACTACGTTCTACGATTACTTACTGACATGCTTAAGTCTGTTACCCCTCGTGGGCCATAGACTGCTAAAATGGGATCTCTAAACAACTAGGTCCTGGGCTGTCCTTTACAGTTGTCCTCAAGAACAATTTGTGTTCTATTCTGTTGAAAACATCTCTGGATATTAATAGTGGCTCGACCCCTTTGCAGTCCTAACGCTGACTAAGATATCCTTTCTTTAGTACCATATTTCCTTCGCTTGTAGCTTTCAGTTTCAGTTCGGATAGGACAGGAGGCTTGATGGCCTGTGTTAGTCCTGGCAATTGTGTTCTCTCAGTTGATCCAACTTTCTTTTGAAAGAATCTACGGATGGAGCTTCAACCACGTGTTGAGGTAATGAATTCCACTCGATGATGATTCGGTGGGAAAGTCGATAATCAGCTGACAAGTGATTTGTTCTGGGCTTGTGAACTTTTTTGGAGTGTCCTCGTAAATTCTCTGTTTTAGAAGACAGGAAAAATGAGGGCATATCAAGTGCAAATTTATCACTAAGCAATTTGAAAACTGTAATCAAGTCGCCTCTAGTTCTACGATATGACAAAGGGAATAGGTTTAGCTTGGCCAGTCGAGCATCATACGGAAGCTTCGCTATTACGGGAATCAGCTTAGTTGCTGTTCTCTGGACCTTTTCCAAAATCTCACTGTCTTTTTTTTAAGCAGGGGCTAGCCGCTTGTATCCAGTACTGAAGTTTAGGACGTACGAACACTGTATACAAAGTCAAAAACGTTTGAGTGTCGACATGAGTAAAAGCCCTACGTATTGACTATAAAGTTCTAAAAGCTTTGGCGGCTATTGCACGGCAGTGTGCAGTAGTTTTCAGATCTTGGCTAATGATGACTCCTAAGTCATTATGTGTCTGGACAACAGGTAGCTCAGTGTTATTCATCGTGTATGTACCTGAACCTTGATGACCGATATGCATCACAACACACTTGGAAGTATTTATCGGCAGCTGCCATGTATGAGACCATTCGGATAATTTCTTCAGGTCATTTTGGAGTTCTGAACTATCACCCTTACATCGTATCGTTCTCCATATCTTGACATCATCAGCATATAGCAAGACCGATGATGATAGTAAGCGAGGAAGGTCATTTACATACAGGAGGAATAGCACTGGCCCCAAACTGTACCCTGGGGCACTCCACTAAGTGCAGTTTCCCAGCTAGATAATTTTGAGTTTACCCGTACTCTTTGTTGGCGCCCAACAAGGAAGTCTTCTATCCACGTCAATAGATTGCCTCCAATTCCGACATTTTTTAGCTTATATAACAGCCGGTTGTGCGGAACCTTGTCAAAAGCTTTGCTGAAATCAATGTAAGCCACGTCTACAGGTAACCTTTGGTCCTTAAAAGCGCGCCAGCTTTCTCGAGTGATGAATAAGTTAGTGAGACAAGAATAACCTATTCTGAAACCGTGCTGTTTCTCCGAGAGGATTCGGTTTACATCGAGGTATTTAAACAGCTCTTTCCGAATAATCTTTTCTAAGATTTTAACAACCACACTAGTTAGGCTAACGGGTCGGTAATTCTCAGGTTTATGTTTCGTACCTGTTTTGAAGACAGGAATTACTATGGCGTTCTTCCAGTCTTTTGGTAAATGACCCTGCGTAACGGATAGCTTAAAGCATATACTTAAAGGGTTCGCAACGAAGTTAGATAATTCATTTAGTAGCCTAGGATGCAATTCATCGGGCCCCATGGATTTACCTATGTCAAGCTTATTTAGCAGATCAAAGACATCGAGTTCATTTATGGTCACGCTATCCAGTGTATGTGTGGGACGGTTTGTATGCGCTGACGGGAAGGGTACTTCTATGGTATATACATTGCTAAAGTAGTTTAAGAACACTTGAGCCTTACCAAAGACATCTTTCACTAATGATGCGGCAGTACTGTCTCCCCATAGTGCAGGAATAATTCCTCTTCTTTTTGTCCTTTGGTTTATATAGGAATACAGGCGTTTAGGACATTCTATGGATTCCTTAACAATTTTTTCTTCGTACAGCTTTCTAGACTTACGGAGGGTCGAGGCACAGGTATTCCTAGCTTTTCGGTACTGAGATTTTGTCTCATCAGTCCCCAGTAACCTAAATCTATCCCACATTTTTCTTCTCTTACGGAGAAGGATGCGGACCCCCCCTATTGAACCATGGTGGGGAGTTTCTCGGCCCTCTTGGTATAGTCCAAGGAATGAAGGGTGCGGTAACTTTTAAGTATAAATTTCGGAATTCATCCCAAGCCGTTTCAATTGAGGACTCTGGGTCTATTGTCCAATCTACTAATGATGCCGAGTGCATGATATCTGGTATGCTTGCTTTCCAGACGTTAGGTCTGGATTGAGTTGACGCTTGCTCGTGATTGACAGTTATATGGAAGTCAAAAGTTAAAACTGCATGATCACTTTTGCCTAGGGGTGGCATGTAAAGGAGGTTCGCAACGTCATCCTCATAGTGAGTTAATATAGTAAGGATGATTCAGTGTCCGGGTCGTACCTAGTCGCTTCTTTCACATGTTGCACTAGGGCACATGTTATAACCGCATCAACTAGTTCCTGCTCGAAGGAATTATCTGATGATTCGGTTCGCAGATTTCCCCAGTCTACCATAGGTGCATTAAAGTCCCCCAGGACTAGACATCGATCACTTTGCGACCAAGTATTGAGACTGTTTAGCAGGACATCATTTACCTCACAGCTTGGACTGCGATAGACCAAACCAATTAGCAGCTCTTGCCCCTTGAATTTCAAGCGGCAACTAACCAATTCACACGTCCCACTATCATGGGATACACTATCAATAATGACAAACGGGATAGCATTCCTAATGAATAGAGCTACTCCCCCTCCTTTACGCTTATGTATTCTGTCGGTCCTTACCAAAGTAAAACCCTCAAAATCGAGTTCCATATTATCTATAGACTGTGTCAGCCAGGTTTCTGTGATTGCGATTATGTCTGGCTTTGTCGAGTCAATCTGTTCACCTAGTTCCGATAGCTTATTGAGCAAGCTTCGGGCATTAGTGTAACAGATCCGTAGTCTATTTAAGTGGCTTCGTGTTCCACCCAGAGTGGCTTCGCCATCATTCTCTGACGAAGCCTCACAACCCGAAAATTTACAATTTTCAGGTCCTTTTCGCCAGCGTCTAACCTCATTTGTAGTTCTTTTTCGGCTTCCCGCCTTTTTACACGGTCTGCCAACGGCAAGTCCTTTCGGATAAAAACTCCCGAACCCTTTAATTTATGTCCATTCTGCAAAATTAAGTCCCTTTCATTCGAAGATTTGAAAACTACTTTAAGCAGTCTAGATTGATTAGGCTTCAAGTTCGCTAAACTACCTAGTCTATACACCTTTAGCAAGGTGACTCCGGAGATATTTTGAGGCATGAGTTGATTAAGTAGCTGTTTTATCAGGACAATGTCATGCTCAAAACGAGTTTTTGGTTCGGAGCTTTCGCTCTCCTTGATCCTATGAAAAATGACTGATCTTTTACTGTGATCAGCCTTCGATTTTTCGACTTCTTTTGTGGGGGCAGGGTTCCCTTTCATATCGTTTTTCTGTTTCTTCCTCACAACCTGTACCCATTCGTCAACGTTGCTTGGAGAAGCAACCACAGTCGCGTCAAACATACTGTGGGATTCCGGAGGGTTTTTGATGACTTGGGAGGTCAGGTTTGGTGTCCCTTTAGAAACTGATCGAGCCTTGCGGTTGCGGCTTCTATGTGTTTCTTTCTGGATACCATTTTGAGGACGTGGGACAGAAGAAACTTTTTTCCTTGAGATTTTTGTGCGGGCAGAACTCTTTGGGGACTGTTCTCCCTCCTTTGGTCGGTGCGAGTCATCTGTTTTCGAACTCACTTTAGTTTGCCTCACGCCAAGTTGCGTGTCAACGGAGCGAGTACTTGTTGATGTGTCGCGACCACTCTTGCCAAAACATTTTTAGCAGCACTAACCAATGAGATGGCCTCGGTTAGCAAGCTGTTAGCATCCGAACAGCACTGTTGACAGAGCCATACGCAACCATTCCTACTGAACCGTTTGAAAGCTGCAGGCGTTAAATTTGTGCAAACTTCGTGGTACCATCCTTTGCACTCATCGCACTGCATGCTGCTTTCAACAGGATAACGACAGCCCAGGCGTTGGCAATTAATTTTTTTGCACTGTCCAATCATTTAAACACCGGGTTTTTTTAGAAAGAACTAGATGCAAAAATACTCAGGGACAAAAATAATCTATGACCAAAAAAAGTGGAAAAACTGTGGATCGGTAGAACCAAAAGCACTAACAGATACTATAAAAAAACAGAGTTCTCAAAAGTACTGACAACAAAACTACTTTACAAACAAAAACGATAATCTATTCGAATACTTTAAATGAAAGAAAATCAGTTTAAGTGAAAAACAGTAGTTTTGATACGTATAAACGATCAAAACAAAAGAATTTACTCAGCGAGGAAAAATACCACTGTCTGTTACTGATAAATCTTCTACGCGTTTTTGTTCGTCTGCTCCAGTCCCCCTCTCCACACTCTTGTTTACTCCTGCGTATTCCATCCCCAGATCTTGTTTTGCTGGTGCTACTTTATACATTCTTGTTTTCCCTTTCCTGAATCCTGAATCGACAGAAATTCACTCTTTATGGTGATGTTTCTTGCGACCTAACACCTGGTACGTTGAAGCTGGCT